ATTCATTTGCATTGTCGGCGCGTGTCTCCACAAAATGCTCGCAAAAAAGGCATGAAAGAAAGACAGAAAATAAGGTTTTTTTGTTACACGCTGCCATTTCGGTTGTCAGGCAGGAAACGTGACGCGAAGTTATCTTTTATTCCAGTTCATTTTGCACCTGCCGCCTACAATGGAAATGAGAATTGGGAATTGGAAGCAGTTAGAGTGCAGGCTATATAAACTGTCATGCAACAAGAGCGGCTGCTGCTGCTGCTGTGTTAAAGATCAGTTTGTACGACAGACCAACAGCTGTGAACAGTTATTAGCAGCTGTTTGAGTGGATGTGTGTGTGTGTGTGTGTGTGTGTGTGTGTTAACCGGAGCCAACTGTCGTCATTAGCGAGTCTGGAGCCTAGGCTTTGAGCACGCTGAATATGGTTACACTGAAGTTAGACGACAGACAAGCAACACACACTCACACACATGGATGCTAAACTGGTGCAATTACTACTTTACACACACACACTCACACACACACATATATATATAATATCTTGAGAAACTGTCGCTTATGCTTATTAGAGACTGTCTGTTTTCACTGCGCCCAGTTTTAATAATTTAATTTTTTTCTGAATAGAATTTCCTGGTTTAAAAAACTTAATTTATTGTTAATTACGAATAGTTTGAACATCTCTTATGATTTTATCATATCGTTTACCTTCTAATGCGAAATCTGCCGCCGAAAACCATTTTCAGCTGATGCACGGTATCCACAATTGTGAAATCCAATTTGAGCGACAACAACAAAGGCTTACAAATCACAACAATAACAACAACAAAAACGTGTTGCCTGCTTCTTCTTCTTCTTCTTTTACACTGCTTGTAGTTGTTGTTGTTATTGGTCTTTATTTTTTACTGTAATTCACTGTCGTTATTTGTGCAAATTAAATGCAATTTTTGGTGTGCGGTTTGTTGGCATAACATTTGAACCTGGCGCCGAACTTCCTTGTTCACATTGGACAACACTTTTTTTCCTTTTTAAGGGGTTTGCACTTTATGACTGTATGATTTGGGGTGCGGGCAGTGTGCGGTGGGCGTGAATTATACTTTTAAAGTGCGCGACAATTTCAATTGATTTACACGTATGTAAAAGAGGCGAAAGTTGAACATGTTTTTTGCCTATGACAAATACGTTTGCATTGCGGTTCGATCTTCAAATGCGGGTTGCTGCGTGGGGGGCGTGTAGGGGTGTAGGAGAATTTATTTGCACACGCGACGTTGTCGTTGTCGTCAACGCTATAAAGCTGCGCGTACGTCTGCACGCGTCAGCGGTTTTCACTCGTTTGAAGTTGCGGCCACAAACAGACACAGGCAGACAGCGGCGAACCACAATGGAGCTGCCGGCAAGCACAGCAATGAGAGAGAGAGAGCGAGAGAAAGAGCGCGCAAATGAGAGCGTGCGCAAGCGTAGCAAGAGTCGGCAGCGGCTCAGACAGAACCACAAAAAGTAAGAGTGTATTGGTAGCCAGCCAACAGCAGCTTTGAGTTTTGTTTGTCGTTGTTTGGCTCTCTCGGTCGCTCTCTCAGGTATGAACAGCATTTGAGTGATCTCAATTGAGCTGAGAACAGCGCTAAAGTGATTGAGTGAGTTGCACTGCACGAAAATAAGTGGTTAATAAGCGGAAGGAACTCAATGTGGCTATTTAATTGGTATATGTTTCTATTATAATTAATCATATATATATATTGTTTTTAATTCCGCTCATTAAGTTGCTTATTCATTATTTATTTTTTAACTTTGTTATTATATTTGTATAATATTTATTATATTATTCCCATTTAATAAGTTGTTTTTATTAATATCACTTGCCATACATTTTTTTTATTTAGCCTTATCTACCTGAGGTTCGATGACTGCACAAACTGAAAGTGGGACTGTTGGTCACTTATTAATCGGAACGTATTTATTATTATTTGATACAGATTGTAAACACGAATCGCCAAACAAATTACTCATTGTACGTAGTCTCAGCAATGTTAAACATTTTGAAGCATACTTTAAGGCGCGCATATTATTTTATTTCTGGCGCGTATAATTATGCAATATTTTTATAAATCAAATATTTTGACACTGCAGAAAGACCCTTAAAGGTTGTATACGAAGAAGTCTGCTCAGATATATAATTTATGCACTTTACATATGTAGATTAAGAATTTACGAAACTCTAACGCCATTAGTATATCACTAGATTCGCTAATAATCTCACTTACCCAATTAACGTATAAAATCAAATAATCAAAAAGAGCAAAAACAATTGCGTATGCCATGACAGTGAACACAAATCAGAAGGCGAAGACAACACAAAAACAAATCAGGCATTACTAAAATCAGATAAACTTGGCGTTGACCATAAAAAAAATGTTGCATTAAATGCAATCGCCTCTTGTGTGTGTGTGCGAAATTTGCGCAATATTCTGAGGCAAAGTTCAATCGATCATTGCTGTCGATATTTAGCCGGCGATAGCGCCAAAAATTATGGCAAGCACTTTGTTAGATGTTGCTCACGATGCAGCAACGGCGACGGCGACGGCGTCGTTTTCATTGTTGTTGGTTGTGTTTTGTTATTTGGTTACATTATTGTTGGCTGGTGGTAATCATGGTGACTGCATCAAGTTTGCGTCTGTCGCGACTGTCTCGCAAATTGAATTGTCTGAAGTTATTTTGTCTGCAAAGCCGCGCAGGCGCAATGCGGCGCATGAGTGATTTATTTCACATACGCCGCGTGTGCGCAATCGAGCTGGCAGTTAATTTGAAAATAATACGCTAGTTGGTTAGCTGGTCAGCTGGTTTAGTTGAATGGCGCTGAACCGGCTAAGAGGCTTTAGAGGTTTGTGGCCAAATTGCCTGGGCAAATTAATTCAAATAGTTTTGCGCCTGGGCCACAGGCCGCCGCCGGCTGTGCAGAGGCGATAATTAGCGCCTGTCGAGAACACATGGCCCCAAAAAAAAAAACACAGAGTGTGACACACCTCAGCCCCAAACTGACAGTAGCCGTAGGTGTTGGCCAATTAATGACCGCAAAAGCGAGCCAAAAATACTGGCTGTCAGGCCATTCTGTGATTACAGTCAAACTTCACTAGCCCGAACCTTCCCGCGAAGTCAATGGCTTTGGCACCTCGAAATTGTGTGGCAATATCGATAAATGATTAAATTCAATGTAATTTCCATAAGATGAATTTTTAAATAAGTCGAATTAAGCTGACCTACTTTTATTCCAATTTAGTGTACTTATAATTTCATTGTGATATTGTGTATTGATTTAATTTAATTTATACCAATTTATTAGTTGGCTATTTAGGTTTGCCAAGAATAAAGTATTGGAAGCTCGGGCAATATGGAATATAAAAGTTTCAAAACTGAGAGATAATTTACTATATGAAAACAGAGAAATAAGTAAGAATAAGGTTATATTTTGTGACAACTGGGGTTCGTATGATTTAAAGAAGCTCGACTGTAGTTTGTTGTCTCCCCTCTCTCACTCTCTCTCTCACACTCTCTCACTCTGTGAGTGTATTTGAGTACAGGTGGTGGCAGCAAAATTAATGCGATGAAATGCTGCTTGCCCTTTGCTCTAATTTCTGCACGGGGACGACAGGCAGACCCAAAAAACTTTCAAAATGCAAATGAGGCATGTTTGAACGGTTGAACGGCATTTGAACCCGCGATACGGGAGAGAGACAAGCCCCAAGACAAAAACTTGCCACAAATTGTGTCAATATTTGTCTCGTGCTGGATGTGCTGCAACAAATCGTGCCGCAAAGGTCTGCAGCGGTGTCAGAGACACAACAACAGCAACAAAAACATGACAGGCCACAGAAATTATTGAGCATGCCACAGCAACAACAGCAGCCGCAGCAACAAACGAGCTGTTGCTCCACTTGGAAGTTGAACTGCTGGCTGGTTATCTAATGCCCGCACCCAGCCTCTCAAACAGTGGGTGCAAAAACTATGCTCGCGCTAATGAACCAAACCAGCGTTCATCTATCAATGTCAGAGCTACGCTGAGCAGTAGAATAAACCTTTTGTATTTGGGCTGCCCCTTTAAGATCAATTTCAACTTCGATTTGGATTGCGTTTAGGTTTACGATTTCAATTCGCTTTGCTTTTACCCCACAATCAAGAACAAAGAATAACAAAAAACCCACGCCACAGGAGCCGCAAAATAAAACATACAAAATTGTTGACACATTTTGAATACACTTGCCGTGCAACGCAGTGGTGGCAAGCCTAATTTTGTCATAAACTATGTAACGTATTTATCGAGTCATCTTAGAGGTGTAGTTTTATGTTATAAAAGCCATAAAACTATCGCTCGAAAACTTGACTCTATTATGAATTCCTTTATCATTGATAACTAATGCGCATGTGTTGAGTAATGAAAAGCTCTGCATAATAATTAGAACAAAGGCGTTTATTTGCTCACATGTAAAAGCTTGCCACAATTCGCATATGGCTACGGCTGCTTACTAAAATTATCCAAGCCAAATTACTAGTTAAACTTGACTTAGGTATGCGCAAGTGCAATCCGTTTGAAAGGGTATGCAACATTCGGTGTGCTTTAAGCTAGCTGTTCTTTCTTGTTTGCTGTTGTCGTCATTGTTGTTGGTTGCTCAGGTGCGCCCGCGCCAATTGGCGATCAGTGATTTGGTGATTGGGTTTTGGGGTACAATATATTGGTTGACTTGTATATTGGGTCACCCACAATGGCCACCTTAAAAGCGAAAGTTCGCAGTCCACACTCGATTTGCTTGATACGCTTGATTTGCTTGATTTATGTTGTGCAGTGTGTGTGTGTGTGTGTGAGTGTATGTGTGTGTTTCATAATCCAATTAGGCGCAAGGCACAGCTGCTCAGCAAGCATTAGGCGACAGCTGATTGACGGCCAGCAGTTGCCCCAAAGGAAGCGGCTTATTAGCCAACAGTGGTGCTCAGTGCTCAGTGCTCAGCGGTGCTGCGGCTCAGTGCTCAGTGGTGCTTGCAGTGCGGCTACTGTGCCACGCACCGCATTCAAAGTTAATTGGATTCGATAAGGTCAAGAACAAAGCGGCAATTGTGAGTCAGGCGCGTCATGGCTACAGCTAAAGCGATTTGGCTTTAATCCATCTGTTGCCAAAAATATATATTTCTTAGCTAATTTCAAGGTGGAATGCGAGCAAAGTAATTTTAAATACCATTGGATTCGTTTGTTAATGGATTAAATTAACTGAACTGCGTGTTATAAAATAGTTTCTAAATAAGAGTTTTTAAATTTCAAGAGTGAATGACATTAGCTAATGTTAGTACTTTGGAATAGCAAACTTTAACTTATTAAACACTAGAGAAATGGAGCATACAAAAAACTATAGCGATAAAGATATAGAGCGAGAGAGACTGAGTAGTCGAGTGAGGGGGGGAGGAATAGTGAGAGAGGGATGGGGGACAAGCTTTGAGCTTTAAAAGTAATATCTTAGACATATGGCTACTCGCTAATTATAAACATTTTTCATATATTTCAGAGACTGGAGCTCATACAACCTGTCAGATAAATATGATGAGTTTAAGAAAGGCGCCTTTAATTAAGTACTTTCAACAATAAAATCTACAGCTCGACGATATTTACATAATTGATATGTTAATTTCTCAAAATGTAACCCAAATTCAAATAAAGTCTAAGATTCAATTCCAACGTTCTCATATCTCAACGATAATTTCCAAGTATTAAGCTGTATTTTAGACAAAATTTGCCACTAAATTTCACGCCTCACTCAAACTAAATCATAGCCAATTTTACGCTTGCGAATTGAATCATAAATTTGCAAGTTTATAATATAAAAGCAGCATAATAAAAAATAAATAAAAAATCGCAGCTGCTTAACGGGGCGTATGATTGATGCACAAATTGTACGCTGCACTCACCGCTTCTGCTGATTGCTCTCCAGATTGTTGGCTATAACGCTGTCAGCGAGCGTGGGTCGAGCGCGTGGCATCAGCGGCGGCGGCACAACGCTGGTAACGCTCTCCAGGATGGGCGGCGGATTATGCGGACGCTTGCGGCTGTTAGTGGGCAGATTCGTGGGCTTGACGGCGCCATTAGATAGCGCCGGTTTGTGGGGCAGCTGTGCGACGAAAAAGAAGATTATGTAAGTGCTATAGTAAAACACGAAAGAAAAGCTATCCTTGGCATGCCAAAGATTGTATACCCTACCAGGCCGGTATCTTATCTAATTCACTATTGACTGCAGAAGCCCATCCATGTGTGGTATATCAAATCGTTGGGCCTAAACGGAAGATGCAATTCAATAAGTGTACCTAATGAGATTTTAACTTAACTGGGGGAAAAAAAGTGAGCATGCAAAGAAACAGACAAGACGACTCCTTATCAATGCTAATCAATAATATGCTTATTTATATAAATTTCTTTATATATGATATCGTGAATCAGAGAGTTTCTATGCTCTCACAAGGCTAGCGATTAGAATCAAAAGCATTCTATTAATCAAAACACATGCAATTCCGATTCAACATAATAAGAAGATGCACACAAATATTACAAAATTAAATGCTAAGGTTAAGCACACACCTGCCGCAAGATGGTTGGCTTTTTGGGTACCTGTGGCGGCACCTTCGGCGCCAGCGTTGGCGTAGAAGCTGTCACAGCGTAGGCAGACCGGCGAGTAGACGCGCCCGCAAAGCTGTTGCGTCTATTGGGCGATGGTGGTGCACGTGGCTGCAGCACTTCCGGCGGCGGCGGCGGTGGCAGGGGCTCATCGAAGGTGTAACTGCTGTCCAGTTCAACGCCCTGCGGCGGCGGCGGTAAATCTGGCGACGGAACACGCAAATGCGGATGCTTGGGCGGACGCTCCGGTGCCTGGACTGGCTGCTGCTGATAGAGTTGCACATTGCGATGCTGCTGCGGATGATGTTGCTGATGTGCCAGGGCTGCTGCCTGCTGCAGCAGCAGCTTCTCCCGCATGGGCGCATACTCCGTGGCGGAAGAGGTGCGTCTCGGTGTCATGGCTAGACGACCACGTGGCGGTGGCGGTGGCGGCGGCATTCCGCAATCATTAAACGAAATCTTCTCGGCGCTGCTTATATTGCGTATGCTGGGCGGCTTCGATTGCAGCTGCTGAGAAGGATGCTGCTGCTGCTGCAGCTGATGCTGTTCGCGAAAGTCGGCGTAGTCCGAGGCGGAGCTGGAGCGTCGCAGCACATTGGGCAGCAGCGAGCGGGAGCGTGGCGGCGGCGGTGGAGGCGTTGGTGAACTACATCCGGAGCTGGAGCCAACGCTACTCGCCGAACTGGGTATGCCCACCAGCAGTGGACTCAGATTGTTTGGCAGCGATTTGCGATCGACGTGTAGTGCCTGATATGAGTGCGAATGGGATTGGGAGCGCAACAGCTGCTGTTCCTCCTTGTGCGCCTGCTGCTGTTGTCGCTCCACGTAGGACTGCACGGCGTTCTTCTGCAACGCCTTCAGCGCCGGATTGGACAAGCGATGTGTCTTGCTGGGCTCCAGATAGGAAAACTTCGGCGACTCAGCCACTTGACTGCGCTCAAAGTCATTAATGCGATCCGCCACCGAATGCCAGGCGGGCTGCACTGCAGCACCAGCAGGCGTTATCACAGGTAGTCTGCAAGAGTTTGGGAACCAGATTAGTTGATTTTAAGAATTAGTGGATATAACATATAAAAAGAGGACACAGCAACAACTGCTGCTTTACTGATGCACTTTGACAGCTTTTTAAAAAAGTATTATTTTATATACTAAATGTTTAAAATAAAAAATGTATAAATCTGTTACGTATCTGTAAATTATTTCTGTTCACGGTTGCAGTGCAACATTTCTAACTGGATTTAAGTTTTAAGATTCAAGTTTTTAGTTTACATATTCGAAGATTAACCTGTAGTTATTTTTAGCAATGAAGTTACTCGCAAATATATATTATTATTCATCTACTTAGCTAGTTAATTCGACTAGTTATATTTGATATTTTATCTCAATTGCCATATCTATATCAGATAACGATAAGTGTTAATCTTAGAGAGCTATTTTTATTGAGATTACTCACTTGGCGGACTTGTGCAGATTGGCACTGAACTGCGGTTTGGGATGTTGCACGTACTGCGAGGTGTTGCTGTGCACTGGCTCCGTGTAGGTGCTTACAGGGAATAAGCGATGATTGCTGCGATAGGAATCATTATTGCCAAGCACTGACAAAGGCGGCGAGTGATCCGCACTGCTGCTGGCCACGTTGGGTGCACTGCAGCTGAGGAGTTCCAGTTTGCTGAGCAGCGGCTTGCTGGGCGGCGGCTGTGGTGCAATTGTGACGACTGCCTCACTGCTGGATATGGTCACCGATATGCTCGACTTGTGCTGCTGTGCAGGACGATGCAGCTGTGACTGTGGCTGCTGTGGCTGCTGCTGCAGATCTCCCGTGGATTGCGACTGACCGAGCAGTGAGCGTGTCTCCTGCGTTAGCGGTGATTCCAGCTCGGGCAAGGAACTTTGTGCTGTCAGCTTGTAGTTTTGTGGCTGCTGCTGCTGGAAGCGTTGCAGCGCCATTGACGTGTGCACCGGCGGATAGCTGGGACTGTGGCGATGCTGGACGCGCAACGGCTGCTGCTGCTGCTGCTGCTGCACATCATCCTCTGAGATCTGCTTGTTAACAGCGGAGCTGCTGCCCGACTTTGTTGGCGACTGGGGCGATGTCACCTCACTGTCGTGCAGATAGAGCACGCTCTCGCTCTGATGCCGCTTGGGTGTCAGCACCCTGGAGCTGTGCACAATCAGCTGTGAGGAGGAAACTGCAAAACAAGCAAATATATAAATATTTATTGGCGAACACGTTCTAATGGGCTAAAGGCGCAGCCAGGAGCTGCAGCTGATTCGAAAAGTGGGTCGGTGCGGCCAAAACAGCCAACCAAAATAATAACAATGACCCAAGGTCGGACCTCCCCCCTCACCACTTAATGTGAATGGCCGACAATCGCCGCGTCTGGCTGCAACTAGTTTAGAAGCCTTCTAAAGTTGTTGAAGTTAATAGAAATAGTGTAGATAAAGTCACGTTCACGTCAGACACGTTTGTGATATGAATATATATTAGGGACATTCCGGCAGTTTAATAGACTGGCTTATCTCTGATTGGAATTGACTTTTTATTTTAAGTAAACGTTAAAGGTGGCGTAAACCATTAAACGTGGCAATTAATATTGATAAGAAATTAATCTAATTAATTAAGCTATCAGAGAGATGGCAGGAATGTCATTGATTTTTGCATGTATTTTAATATTTTATATATATGAGTGCTGAACCACCGAAAATTGATACACAATGTCTATATACAATGTATATTGCAGAGCTTTGCTAAAACGTTAAAATTTTACAATTTCTTTGGACAACATTTAATTACATAGTCAGGAGAATACATAGTATTCTGAATTTAAAGTTTAAAATAGATATATATATATATATACAAATAGGCAACGAATTAGTGCTAAGAACCATAAAGTATATTACATGGTATAAAATTTGTAACAGGCTTTTTAGCACTTTAATCATTTTCTTTAATTACTCTGCATGAAATATTCGCCTAGAATTACATCAATTTCCTGAAATTTGTTTTAAAACTAAAACTTTTGCCTAATAAGAGATTTTCTCAGTTCGAGTTTCTATTTTATTCAAGGCTCAACTGATTTTAACTTGATTTGAAACTTACCCGACTCGGCAATGGCACTGTAGCCCGTCGCATGGCTCGCCTCGGATATGTCGCTCATGGAGCCGAGCCATTTGAGCGTCTCTGTGGATGAGGTGCTCTCGGAACTGTTGTTATTGTTGTTGTTGCTGGGACTGCGATTGCTGGCGCTGGAATGATGCTGGGCATGATGCGAGTTACCGTTGGCGTTGCTAATATTGCTGATGCTGCTGCGACTGCTGCATTGGCGGGCAAGTAACGGTATGGGCGATGGTGCCACCGAATTGCTGCAAATTGAAGAGAGATCATTCTCAGACCAGTTATGCGACGGGCGGGACAGTAGATCGCCCTCCTGACGTAATCTAAATAAACAATTGGGAGAGAGCGGTAGGGGTTTAATGCCAAGAACTTATAGTTGGTAAGTTCAAAATAAAATGAAGATAAATAAGTAAATAAAATGGCAAATCATTGCGTGCTGCGTCGTTGACTATATAAAAATCCAACAATTTTGTGGTTGTCATGTTTGGCGTTTCCTTCTACACGGAGGCCTCCAGACAAAAGGTATGACCGTAATTACTTGAATTTCAGCTTAGCCTTCAAAATCGCATTTCGATGGCTTTAGACATGAGACAGCAGCGAGTACACAAAAAACATAAAACTCTCTTCAAGCTGGTCGCGGTGGCAAGCTACAAAATATATATGAAACAACAGCAACAACTACGGATAACAGCAACAATGACAATAGAGCAACTCGAGTCTGCTGCCAAGACCTTGAAAGTTAAGCTAGTTTGCTTAGGTGTTGTTGTTGTGTTGTTTTTATGGCTCATATGAGACGTTTGTTATTTACTTTACCAAGAATCACATTTAATCACTTTTTTTATGTAGATGTACGTCTGAGCCGCAAATGATTTTCATAATTGTCGCCAGCCAAAATGAAAAACATGTTTTGCAAGATCGTTAAGTGCTCGAAGAATAACTATCAATGGATCAACTACTCACTTGTCAAGGAACGGTGTCGCCGATGTTGAATCCGAGCTGGACACATAGCTGTGATAGCCCTCGGATTGTGCATACGAGGCCTGCTTCTGATGATGGAACGTTGTCTGATCGTAGTAGGATGAAGAGCGTATATTATACTCCTCCAGGCCCGCCTGTGTCAGTCCGCATTGATCCAGATGCTGTAGCGACTGTTGCTGTTGCAGCGATTGCTGTTGTTGCTGCTGCTGCTGCTGCTGCTGCTGCGTGGGTGTCGACTGCATGTCATCCTGCAATAAACCAACACAGAGTGCAAATCAAATATACAAGCTCAGATAAATCTTTTCTGCTTCTGCTGCTGCGGCTGTCTTTCATTAACTCTGGCCAACAATTGGCAAACGAAATTATATAACACTGCGTATACGTAATGCGAGCCTGTGCAAACAACAACAACAATAAAATTTCACTGCAATTTAATCATTAGTTATGTCCACATCGCTGCGGGTCAGAGCCCCTGACGGAGACTTGAGATTTAAAATCCGTTTGCAAATGATCGCAAAATCAAATAAACAACCAAAAAAGAAATAACTGCCGAAACCTCCAAAAACAAATCCCCATCATCATTTCAGCCTAATACTCTTTGTTTTGTTTGCTCGGTGCGCTCATTAGATAATTAAGTGAAAATTATTATTTGGTTGCAGTACAACGCGATTGTCTGCCCGATATATATATTTTTTCTTATAAATATGTAAGCGATAAGCACTCGGCAAACCCGGCTATTGCCAATGGTAACAAAATTGCCAACAACGAAACATTTGAAGTGCAGCCAAACGAATTTTGTGCGATGTTGCAAAAACTTGGAGAAACAACAACAACATCGACAACAACCACTAAATAAACCAAAAATTACTCGTACATAATCGCAGCGAAAAATAAAACTGGACGAGACAGCTCAGCAAATCAACAGGCAACCAAACAGAGCGTCCATAATAAGCCGGATTAAGTAACTAAACCCACCCAGAGACTGATTATGTTTGTGTCCAACGAGGGTTGCACTCGTGATTGTTGTATTGGATGTATTTATAGATTTGATAGTATCTCAGAGTTACTAGCTTGTAGTAAAACTCAAATCACTAATAAGTCGTACATTGAGCAATTTTCTAATTATCTAGCCTATCCGTATATTTGTTTATCAATCCTTTCTAGTCTAATTTTTCACAGTCTAAATGAAACTTTTGCTTATTTTATAAGATATTAAAGGTAATTGAATTATCTTTCTCAAAAGTATAAACTTGTATGTATAGTCATCCCTTAGACATAAATAAAAGCTCCAGAAAATGCACAATGCTTTAAAAAGTTAGTTTGACCATTTATAGTAAGGTATATTCTATGCGATGTAACAAAGATATTACAATATAAAGAGATTACACATAACACTTATTGTTTCACTATGTAAATATGCATATCAACTGCAACGTAGCCATATCGTTATGTGTATAAGTAGAAGTAGCCGAATACTTCACAATCTTATAGATTTGTGGTTGAGATTGTCCAAGTGCTTCAAGTATTGCTCAACGCATTAAAGAGTATTAACAGTGAAATGCAGTTAAAGTTATTCACAGTTGCAAATATATGTAAGTATAGCAAGTGATATGTAATCGCAGCTATCAACATTTTCGGCAGACCTGGTGTCAAATGCTCAATCAAATCACGCTACGTATACTTTATATTTCAATGTTTGCTCTGCGCGACGACGGCGACTCTCAAAAACCAGATCGAATTGTAAATACTCATGCATATAAAGCACCCCAAAAATTATAAGAAAAATAAAAAAAAAATCTCAAGCAATATTACGACCAAGCCTCTGAGCCACTTGACTGACTTTGACTGGCAACGTCAACTGTGGCTCAGCGTGGTTCAGAGTGGTGCGACGGCATCGGCAGCGGCATCGGCATCGGCATCGCCATCGCATTCGCAATCACCGCCATCAACGTGGGCAGCTGTTGATTGTCTTTTTGACTTTGGCGCCATAGAATTGTTAGGCTGCCTAATGGCAAATACATATTATAATAACAATAATAACCAAAATTCGTATGACAGACAAATGCAGCAGCCAATAACATAAAAAAATAAAGAATTATAATTTTGTGGGTCAACTACTTAGGCAGTGCCTGGCAATGAGTCTGAAAATCGAGTTAAGAGCTGGAGTTATAGTTGGGCCTTTTGGCCTGAAGGCGCATCGTTTGCAGCTAGGCAAAAGAATTTTAATGGTTTGAACGTTCCCAAGACCAAATCGCAGCTAAAGTTGAATTCGAATTTGAAGTCGAAGTCGGAGTCATTTATTCATTCATTCACTCACTCACTCACTCACTCACTTATACGTTCGTCGTGCCCGTCAGTTTCGTTTCGTTTTGGTTTCTTGTTTTTGTTTCTGTTTCTGTATCTGTTGTTGGCCAATTGCCGTAATTATTTTGTCTCTCTAACACGAATTTAAATCAGCAACTGTCCCACGGGGCAATGGGGCCCTTTACTTTATTCCTATTCCTAGAGCAACTGACAGCCAACCATAATTATCCATCCACACAGCTGTGTAGCTCGAAAAGAGCGCATGTGAAATTGCGCCGGATGAGCATCAACTTCAGCTTCGAAGCTCAGCTAAAGATACCAGATACAGCTATAGGTACAGATACAGATACAGATACATCTACAGGTAAAAAGCATCTCGCACAATAAATCAAAGGCAATGGTGGGGCGCGTATTAAAACTGGTGCAGTGGGTCAACAGCTGGACGCAGCTGAGCGCCGCTGGCCGTTGATGCTTCTTAATGGTCGCGGTCTCAGTCTCGGTCTCCAATTTGCCTTCCCTTACCCCCCCCCCCCCCCCCCTACCTTTGTTCACATTGAGCGCGTGTTAAATAAATCACTTGATGGAGTGCTAAGCATGCGCCCTAAGGCTCTAGAAAACTATTGAAAGTTGCTCTGAGTAGCGAGCGAAACAACAAAATTTGCTGCCCATTTCGATTATCTATAACACTAAAACCAGCAGAGAATTGCGAGAATTTTGGCATGTGATTGCCGATAACATCAATAACACAGTGCGTATAAGCCATATATGCACAATAGGAAATAGTCATGGACGCGTTTTTAATTTTGCGTAAAATAACCAGAATGTTCTAATGACATTTATTGAAAGTATTTTTAACACATTAAATTTGAGAAAAGCGCATCGAATTTGAATCAATTTGCTGAGCTTTCACAATTTAAAAGTGCCGTAATATATATAAAAAAAAATGTAATCAAGCTTGAAGCTTCAATGTGTTGTCAATATTATCTAGAAATTAATAACACATAATGTGAGTCAACCAAATAGCTAAACAAATCAAAAAACAAGAGTCGGGCGTAACCGACTGAGAAATACATTGACACCTTTGCCTTTCAAGTTGCGGTAGATATAAGCTAGTAACGTTCCTTCGAAGTTTGGTAACTCTTAAATTACGGGAGATATGGGAGCTTCAAAATTTTGGGGGCGGGAGTGGGCGTGGCCGAAATAATTATTAGAGAAGGTGCCTAGTAATCTTCCTTCCAAGTTTAGTAGCTTTAGCTATCAAATTGAGGAGATTGAGGGAATTTTGAAGGCGGGTGTGGGCGTGGTCAAATACATTTTGGAGTACGATCTTAGTAATCTACCTTCTCAGATTGCTAACTATAGCTCTTAAATTGCGGGAGATTTAGGCTTTTATCGTTTTTGTGGGCAGGGGTAGGATTTTTGAGGGGTGTTACACGCAATATACCTTCCACATTTAGTGAATCTAGCTTTCAAATTGTGTGAAACATATGGTCTTATCGATTTACACTAACAGATGTATCGGTTTAGGGGAGGCACAGTAATCGTGGCTATCCAAATTTTTATTGAGTTACCAGTACTTTAAAAATTTTGTGACTCTAGCTTACAAATTATGGAAGATATGCCCATTTCAGATTTCTAGGGCTGAAAATTTATATGCCGATCCTTGGAGGAGGCAACCAGCCAGTTACCAAGTTATCCAAGTTTGGTCACTCAATCTTTAAAACTGTGGGAGATATGCATGCTTATCGATTTACACTTTCCGAAATATCAGCATTGGCGATTAAGGGCGCAGGCAACTACCAGCAACATACCTACCTAATTTGACGGCTCTAACTCAAAAACTGTATAGCCATTTAAAACATTTAGGGGTGGGGGCCTCGGGGCGGTGGAGTTGGTTGTGGCATACGCCGATCTTTGAAGAACATCGCCAACAACCAACCAACAAAATTTTGTGACTATAACCTTAAAATTGTGATATGTGGGAGATATGTGGCTTTATCGATTTGCGAATATCGATTTTTACACTTGTCTGACGAGGGCAAAGACCAGCATGTGTTCCAAGTTTTAAGTCTCTATCAGACGGACAGATAGATAGACGACAGACAGCATGACGGACATTGCATAAAACCAATATACTATGATATCTTCGGTATCAAATTGTAACTACACTTAAGATTCTTTATTTCTGGAATCAAAGATTTAAGTTGCTCGCAGAGAATTCACTTTCTAGCTGGGAAACTTTTACTGCTGTTACTTTTCAGATTTTCACTTGATGTCAGAGTCTAGCAGGATCTTAAGACGTTTTACGTCGTTTTATTCTACAGTTCAAATATCACTTTCAGGTAGTGTCAGGTGGACTTAAGCTGACAACAAGTAAATGGGAAAACAGTAAAAACTGTAAGAACGTGTTTCATTTTGTTGATGAAGTGAAATTTCATTCATAATTCTTAAGCCGCTAAGCTTGCGAATGTGACAGCTGGGTATTCGCATTAATCGTGCATGAATACCCCCATTGGTCATTGCCAAAAGAAACAAAAAACAAAAGTCAAAAACGCACTGGCGATTTTGTTGCTCAGTTAAGTGTTTGTTAATTTAAATATAATTTTTTGTTGTTTTTTTTTTGTTGTTCTTTTTTTTTTTTTTTGCTGATATGCTCGCTTAACGTCAGAGACTGAGTCACCCACTCAGTCAGCTTGCAGGTCAGACAGTCGGACAGCGAATCCAATTGTTGGCGGCTTATTTGTCGCGCTGTTTACATTGCAAAGAGGCCAACACTACTGATAAGACAGACAGAGAGCGAGAGAGTGAGCGAGAGCGAGATAGGGAGAGATAGGCAGACAGCGAATAAAGCCACCTACGCATTGGCAACTTGACTTTTGCTTTATTTTGATTACTGCACACACGCACAGACACAGACACAGACGCTTATTATGTGTGTGTCTGC